CCATATGAGAGGCTTAGAAGGGACATGACTGGTAATAGCCACTGGTGGCGCTATGATCGAGCCCAGTAATTCCAGTAATTCGGCAAGGGTGGAAACTGGACTTTTAAAGTCAGTTAACTCTCTTGCCTCGGGAAGATGCAACTCGCTATCAGGATCCGCTGAACCTAGGTTCGAATCCCAGTTTTAATGATACTATTAATGATCCATTGTTTGAAAGCATCGCGTCCGTGCTCGAGGGATACACTGAGGCACGTTATCCTTATAACCTGACACATGGTATACACGATTACTGTTATAGGGCGTTGACCTGCCTTCAATTGTACCTCTGTTATTTGTGACGCACCATACAAAACTACGTAAGTTCTTGTCACAACCAAGATTCAATTGCCAGTTTCCATTAAACATACAAACTAAAGGAGACGTTCGTTATGCTGGGTAAGACTCTGAACACCAAGCAATGTGACTATTGAAGCTCTTCTGATCATATGTAACGTTGTCACCCTTGAGGAAGTCTACATAACGAGTTCACGTTTTTCAAGATACATATGTACCATTAAACTATGGGGGACCTCGTTAACATAGGCCCCCACCTCTCTACTGCTCTGTCCACTCACTGATCCGAGTGAAAGGCCATCACTGTATGCTATTGTACTCTCCGTGAATGGAATCTGTCCTCTTTCACGGTGTGTGTTAACTCTATTGGACTTGTTATATCAAACTTTACAATGAGGGTAGTGAAACGTCCTTTGTTTCATAAACTTGGATTTGACCAAAATATACAAACGTTATCAAACCGTTACTAAACAGTCGCCGAAACATTCAAAGGTAAGGATCAAAATACAGCTGTGATACCAATATCGATTACATTACCATCGAACAACGATGTCTTTTTTGTTTTATTTTTAGTCGCCATCAAACATGAGTGTATCCTTTCTTTTGCCCGGCAGTGTATTTTTGCCTCATTAACTACCTTGACTGATAACGCCTCCTTCCTTGGTGGCCCAGTCGTCGAAGGCGCCGCGATTCACTGTGCAGAGTTGCGTCCCTTGGGCATGCCAGAAACCTATGATCGTGGGTTCGAATCCCGGTTCGCCCCGAATATGTTTCTAAGTTTGGCAGCGCCATCCCCGTGCTCATGGGTTTCCCCGAAGTGGTACACGTTTGAGACCTTCATCACTTCGGACTTTCCCCGCCGTGATATAACTGGAATACTGTAAAAAGCGGCGTTAAACCCAACTCACTCACTCACTCACTCCTTAGACATTAGAAGACGCTTTGTCACCTGACCTTGTCAAGGCGACTAAACTGGATAGGGTCACCAGGCTCGGTGACTTGGTTGCATGCTTATCATCGTATCATGTTGCTTAGCTATCAACCACTGGTTTGTCCGGTCAGACTCGATTATTTAATGGCCGCCATGATATAGCAGGAATAGTGCCATGTTTGGATTTATTTCACTTACACGTTCTCATTCCCAGAGCCCGCCATCACAGAGTTGCTGTCTGAGAAGAAGTCGATGAGTTTGAATTGGTCTTCAGCAACCCATGCTTGTCGTCAGAGGCGACAAACGGTGATCAGGCTCGCTGACTTGGTTGATGCATGTCATCGTATCCTGGTTGCGTAGATGGATGCTCATGATGTCAGTCACAGGGTTGCCTGGTCCAGACGTGATTACTTACAGACCGCCGTCATATAGCTGGAATATTGCTGAGTGCGGCGTTAAACAACAAAGAGAGAAAGGCGTCGGGGACCCGCTGAGATATCTTGGCGAAAGGTGAGGTGAAATGGGGTTTAACGTCGCGTCCAAGATTATTGCACTTATATAGCGACGTGCATGCACGTGTATGTGTGTGTGTGGCTGCTTGTACTAGTCCGGACTGATGCCGATTTATAGTGCTAGCTCACTGAGATACCATGCCGCAGTTTAACATGAATACCCCACTCAGACACAGTATACTGACTCCGAGCCGACCAGTCCTGGTTTTAGCCCCTTAATGCCGAGCGCAAGACAGGGTAACAACAAGTACAATCTTTTAACGTCTTTTTGTATGACGCGGCCCGGGATCGAACCCTGGACCTTCCGCTCTCCGGGCGGACGCTCTACCACAAGACCACGGAGGCGGTCCTTGCTGAAAGGGCCCCATCATGCGTGCAGGTGAGAACGTGTCGTTACACCTAGTGTTACGGTTAACGGTATCTTGTACCTCCAACTCGCCACCCTCATAACATTACCTGTCGACTCAGCTGGAACATTGGTGTGCTACCTTAGTGTGCCGACCCACTTAAAGTGTTTCAGAAACATGCTATCGGGTAAATATTACAGCATACCTTTGGCTTGAACAAGTATGTCCTGATGGAACATGTAACTTGCTATGTTAGTGAGTGTATTAGCTGGGTTTAACAGTTATATAAATTGTATTTCCATGCCAGCTAAATTGTCGGGCAAAATGAAGGATACACTTGAAAAATGGATTCGACCTAAAAATTACAAACGTTATCAATATTTTACTACTGAAAACAGTCTCCGGAACGCTGCAAACTTTAGGTCCAAAACACGGCTTCACTCAGATACATCAACATAGAATAACCATTTCTTCTTTCTTTCATTTTTATCCACCATGACACATACTGTATACTTTCTTTTACCCGGCAGTTTCTTATGATGAAATACCCGGAAGTGACGTAGTTCGTAGGCGTTTACACTTTGGTGTAACCCAATGGGCAAGAGCCCCATCCTGACAAAGGATACAATACCACGTGTCTATGTGTAATTCTATGGATGAAGGAACGTGATATTAGGAATCTTAAGATCACAGCTTAATGCTCTGATCCAATGGGCGTCCGCCCTTCGCGTCACGTGTAGTACAACTACACGCCGATAGTGTACTCCAGCCAATCCACTTTATACAACAATGCAGCTGCAAATACCTCCAAATCTACTCAGACTTGGCCTTGAGATTGAGATGAATGTGAAAGGTGTCGTTTGTCGTGTCCAATATCGTCACAAATGTGCATGTGGTGGAGCTTGAGTATTTGGCTAGATTGTCCAACGAAACAGATCCATTCCATCGGGTTTAAAAGGTAAAATAGCGGTGAAAATCATATGAATGGATCACTGAAAATCAATGATGACACAATGTGTTCGCGAAAAGGGTGAGCATGTCTTGCCCTACCGACAGAGCACCCGCCAGTCTAAGACCGCTATAGGACTCGTGACATGACAGTACTTTATTGGTATAAGGTGAGGTGAAATTGGGTTAAACGTCGTGTCCAAGATTATTGCACTTATATAGCGACGTGCATGCACGTGTGTGTGTTTGTGTGGCTGCTTGTACTAGTCCGGACTGATGCCGATTTATAGTGCTAGCCCACTGAGATACCATGTCGCAGTTTAACATGACTACCCCACTCAGACACAGTATACTGACTCCGAGCCGACCAGTCCTTGTTTTAGCCCCTTAATGCCGAGCGCCAGACAGGGTAACAACAAGTACCGCTCTCCGGGCGGACGCCCTACCACTAGACCACGGAGGCGGTCTTTATTGGTATAAAAAAGGAACAGCCACCAGGATAGTAGTACTCGTCTTCGCCTCCTCCTTCTCATTCATCACTTCCCCCCTGTCTCGTACATTCAATAGACAGATCTTCCTTTCCTTCTGGAAAACTGGCCCAAACGATTTTATTAAAAGCTTAAACATTGTCAGGAGAGATTATTTATAATTGATCATCACAGTGCAATTGAGTCTTGTTCCCCAAAGACATCTTCGTGGTACGACTGTCGTTTACTCCCAAACCTTTAACAGACTTACGATAGTCGTAGCACTAAGATCGCTTTGTGGTCCAGTCAAGGTCAAGGTCACTATTCAGTTGGCCCTAAACTAAGACCTAATCTATGATTACCCAAATCAAGGAAATAGCTTATCAAGTAATTTCTTACACGTGTTAAAAAGACGGTTGCACCCTACCGAGTTAATTATAACTCGTACATTCTGAGTGAGTTAGCATAGCTCTGCACCGCTACTAGCAATACTCCAAACATATCATGGCGTATGGCACCTAGAATTATCTGCACACATTGTACCCTAGTCTGTCATATATAGACCCTGAAACACATATATCCAAAACAGCCCATGTAAGTCTATAATAGTGGGAAAGTCTAGATTACTGCAATATCTGAAAATGAAGAGATAATTTAACAACTGGTATTTTTCTGTAAGATATGATCATTTCAGAGACTAGATGTTAGTCTACTTGTACCCTTGTCGGGAATCGAACCAGAGCTTTCATTGTGAATGCGAACAGCAAGGTTACCCAACCGACCTTTCATTACTGAATGCATGAACAAGCATTACACTAAGGCAATCAATCAGAAAATATCAAACCGAAAAGACTTAATATTATCACAAGAGACATTGGTTGTACAAATATGTCAATTTCCAAATTGTGCGATTCGCGTATTTATACGCTGATGGCCTTGAAGCTAATCAAATCAGGTTATTTAATAATCGACAAGTACAAGATCGTCATGTGCCAACGCCAAGTTTATTTATCGACTAGTACTGATGTGCCAGCCGACTCATCACCTGAATCATATTTATTTATCGACTCGTACACAAGATGTCGTCACGGTGCATGACACCCTAAGGAGAAACATACAGATTCTGAACTGTAATTATTAAACTTAAACACGCACACAACGACCGCATTCGTCAAGCACACAAAGTATGAACAAGTATATGAAAACAACTTCTGCATCGAAGACGAGGTTCAACACCCCTCCTAAGTGGTCTGAAGAAACATATTGTCATATGTTCTCTATCTTTCCTCCACTAAAGTGGAAACACAGCTGGCAATATATTTTGAGAGTGATGTATTTTAGATTTATCCCACGTGGACCGCATCTGAATAAGATTTCTGACAGATTGGTTTACGAACACCGTCACCTGAGTAACGCATGCGCAGATGACACCTGCTGTGTTAAATGAAACGACACATGCGCATTAACGGAATAAAAACGTTTATTTCCTGTTTGAATATAACACAGATACTTTGACGTCTAGTATATAGTGAGTATTGTGATGTACAGAAAGCGATCACTTTCAAACAAGATGCTGATTCAGTGAAACCTCGTTAATCCGGACTCAACCTTCTTTTGCAATTGTCCGGATAAACTAATGTCCGGGTTAACGAATCACGGATACGTTGTCAAATCTCCTTAAGTTTATATAGCCGTTCCCGACAGCACTAGTGCGGAAAGCGCGTTTCCGGTTTAACGCGGTCCCGACTAACGAGGTTGCAATGTATGACTAACAAATAAGGTGTGTTGAATGCTCGCTATTGACTGTGATATTTCACTTAAAGAATTCTTAATAAGATACACTATATATCATGATGGCGGGGTCAGAATGCTAAGGACGCGGTTAAGTAAGTAACGTCATATCATATCCATCTATATTTGAAGTCAAATCTCAAACACATCCTCTGAATTCATGGTATTATTTACGTCCATGTTGTGATTGGTGCACTTTGGGATTAATACGCCATGGGTCACCAGACTGGTCTCGTCGATGAATGCGCGCTTTGCCAATGAAATACAAAACATAGTTCCTCAATCCTTTCGTGAGATTCGGTACCATGACACCAAACACAAGCCCAGTTTGTCTCGGCGAATCAGACACCTTGAAGAACGCTGACTTTCGACAGGTCATCAGGGCTCTGTTTTTTTTAAGAGCGTTATTCAGACAAATGATGTTATGTCAAGTGGTCTCAAGGTACTTCTCAGATCGTGGAGTTAAAAATTCACGCACAACCGAGGATGTCTCAAACATAAAATCCATAGGATCGACATATCACGTCTCTATGTGGTCACTGTTACCCATTTAACACAAAACGTGGCATCTTCTAATAGGTCATATCAACCAGTCGTCTGATTGACGTGGTTTCCGCAAAAGTAGGGATCCACGTGATACGAATAATACAAACGGAACGAGCTGTATCAATGCAACGTAGACATAGCACTAACATTTAATGACAAATATACATCCACTTGTATGCCCTGTCCGATATGTCCAGTAGCTACTACACGTCTAGGATTTCCACTTATAATGCCCAAATGTCTGTTCAAATCGGAGTTTACCGTTTCTGTATCGTCGCTTCTTCCGAATGGATTTATTGTTTCGTCTTCGTTCCCTTCTCTTATTCCTCCTCTTTGCTTTAGCATTTTTCGATTTTTTATTCTTTTTATTCTTCCTTTTAGCCTTTCGTCGTTTCTTCTTCTTCTCTTCTACACCTGCTGCGTCTTGTTGAACGTCGCAAGGCCCCTTGTGGCTGACCCTGATACGTTTTCCAATGTTGCAAGCGGCAATGCGCAAGTGACACCGTGATGTGTACGTGATGTTGTCGGTGCCGCACACCTCTCGCTGTCGTCTGCTGCGGCAGATGTAGTCACTGGGGCACGTGCACAGAGGCAGCCCCTGCATGTTCTCCACACATACTTTGAACTTGGGACACTTCACCTGCTCACAGGCTCCGTCTGAAATTAGAGGGAAATCAGTCGTGTAAAAGCAGCTTAGTGAGATATCGAAATATTGAGACATATAGGCTCAGGATTATAATGCCGGGTGTCAGTTTAATGTGGGAGTAAAGCCCGAAGTGATGCAGGTCTCAGACGGTTACCGGTCTCGTTACGAGCCAATCTTAGTTCTCGCTACCGCTAAAGCGAGAACTAATTCTGAATTTAATGAGATTGAGACGTTTATCAATTTGGTCAAACCCTCAAACACGGGTATGGTGCTTACAAACCTAGAAAAATATCAAAGCGAATCTGGGATTCGAACCCACGGTAATCTCTGACACGTCAAAGGGACACCCAGTAAACAGTTAAAGACGACTGGGACCCCGTGTCGAGTTACGAAGTAACAAATGGAACATCACTGTGTGAGTGATACTTTACGCCGCTTCATCAGCAATGTTACAGAGATACCAGGGTGTTATGAACATTTGAGTCACAGACAGGAATAACAGGGTACGACAACACAGAGACACACACTGTAACCACCTCAATCCAGTTTAGTCGGATCTTACGTGCATGCTATAGTCCATATTCTTCCCGAATCCTGGCACGACTAAGGGATGCAACTATGCAAAGTAATCCCTACAAAGAACTTCAATGTAAAACATGCACCAGCGTACGTGTACGTGTACGTGTACGCTGGCGCATCGACAACAAAACCCAAACCAATCCTGTATCTGCTGTAGGCTATATCTGCAAGCACAGGTGTGTTTGATGTGCACGGGCAATCGGTAACACCGGACAGGTACATGCAACGATATCAGGCGCAAGGTGATGGAGCTCACATCACTTAATGAAATACCAGCGTTATTCATTTGACATTATGAAACAGTTTAAAGGCATAATCTGTTCGTGTGACTGATGTGTTAAAGTAGGCTCGACGAACTGGTGCCTGTTCCAGTTCTCGGTCCAGACGCTGTAAATGGTGTCTTGTAGTAAACTAACATATTGCCTGTATGTAGTTGGTGCCGAATTAACAGCTAGATTGATATTTATACTGAAACGTGAGTCAGTAGACAGACAAAATGGGTTTTGAATGAAGTGCCTGATTGATATTTTCAGAAGTTGGTCCGTGGCAGTGAAGACAAGATAATGTATGAATGACAACTTCTACAGACAGCATCTATACAGAAACGTCGCACCATAATAGAATAAAGTTGTCATCCATCTTGTCTTTATTTTGAATGATTTGAATCAAATTTACATCTGATCCGAGTCGAAGCTCCCTTAACACTAATTCTGTGTAAACAAGCATGAAATACTCATATCCCCTGCCAATATGACATGTCCGGTTGTGTGCAAGGCAATACATATTGTACGGTTTTCAAGATCTGCTCCGGAAAGGAGCACTACCGACATTTTCAGTCTAAGTCAAAGTCGTTGACATGGAAACTCGAAAAAATTTAAAAAAAATTAAAATCTGAAACTATCAAAAGGCACAGTTCACCACTAGACCTATCTATGTGCCAAGTTTGGTTAAGATATCTCTCATGGGTTTTCAGTTCTGTTTCGGAAACGAAACGTGACGGACTGGCGAGCGGACAGCACCCTTTCCTATACCCCCCTTCCACTTTGTGGCGGGGGATAATGAAGGCAAGAAAACAATTTCCATATTCATCAGAAATCTCTGTTCAATTGTACGATTCCGACTATATCATGAGCATGTGTTTATGAATCACTGCCAAGAAGTAATGACACCAGATGTTGTCGAAAAGGTGAGCGTATCCTGCCCCACCGGTGACACCCGTCACAAACTGTTATTTCACTGTTACAGCATTATAGCAAAACACGGGAACATATGGTATGAGTTAAAATAATTGCATCGCACATCATTTTTGTAAGGAAAACGTGTCTGTAGACTTGATGTCTGTAACACTGGAATGGAACGCGTCACGTTAAGGGTACTATTCTGCCTGTGTGAACAATGTTGATATCAATCATATGTTTCATTAGACTAAAATCCTTCTGTTTAAGTAACCTTTCCACCAGATTGAACAATGTACATAGTCTTCGCCTCATACGGTACCTACGAATATGAACCGTGTTTATTTTCAGATTACTTATATCTAAGCATGACACAATACTCTTGAAGTGGTTCTCTTACTCTTCATGTGTGGATAGTCTTACGGGTAACGCTTGGTGCACAAGGCTATAGAATACCTTTTTTCGCTGTCGATCTGATATTTTCGCACTTTCGTTACCGTTCAGAACACGCAGTCATGTCTGACACATTTCTCCGGCAGTATGAACATAGGTTACTTCCTGGAGACTGCTTATGGTCTTCAACTCTACATAAGTCTCCCAGTCGCTTTGTCGAACTACATTTTCAAAGTTCTGGGTTCATAGCAACACTTGTTATGAGGCAGTGGTCACTGCATTTACACCCGGTTTGTAATATTGCTGTTCTCTAAATACAAGTATACACCGTCAGGAAGCACGGGCACATATGTTGTTCGTCTGGCGATTCATTTTTTAAATGAAACAAAAATTGATTTTTTCTGTAAAAAAAGGCCCGCATAATGTGTTCAGTATTTTTAGCAATAAAAAAACTTTCAAAGTAGGTCAATATTGGAAGCGATGTCCTTTGACTCGTATTTTAAAAATATACTTTTTAAATTGTTTTTCATCTATTTCACCCGGTCGACCATTCTTTTCCGAAATCACACTCAAAAAGGTGTCCATAAATAGTTATTTTATTTCGTCCACTGATCCTTGCAACAATGCATTGTTTTGTGGCAGGCAATATTTTTTTCAACAGTCGAAGCCCAATCTTTTTAAAGAATTTTTTAGGACAATTAATTTTTAAGATAAAATCCAAGGCCCCCCAAAATTAACAAATGTCGATCCCTTAGCCATTGGGATAAAGACCCCACTATATCGCTCCCTCTCCAGTGTTCCCCTCTTATAACCAGACACACTGTATACAACATCACGGAACAGGTGCTCGACTCAATATATAGATCTACATGATACCGACGTCGAGGAGACAGAAGGACTACTACATACTCGACCTCTTCAAACAGAACAAAGTACTGATCGACATTTCTGGTATCGACAGCTCTTACACCAACAGTCCCAGCGACAATCTTCTCCCACCGTGACAGGATTCTATACAATCGCTAACTATCATTTGATGAATGTAATCAGAAGGTTCATAACGTGTATATGTTGTGTAAATATGCGCTTAATCAGTGACATCAAATGTATTTTATCTTCGTAACCCCCTGAGAACACAAGCGGAGGTTTAAGGAAGGGGCGGCTCTAGTGCAGTAATTATTACGACCGGTGCGAATACGACTGGAATAGAAGGAGGATAATTTGTTAAAGATTTGTTATTATTAGGAATAAATACTCCCCGTGGACGTCTCGCTGGTGAAATGTTATAACAATACCAGCCATAACAGCGGCATGTCGGGAGTTCATTGTGGAGCCACTGACGACAAGCCTGTCTGACATGGCCTTAAAAGTCGCACTAACCGAACCATGACATACAGAGCCGTGACCGAACCGAGCCAAGTGGTTGAACGCCACGTTTGAGCCACGTGTTGCTATGGTAACGAAACACTTGTTTTTCAATGGCGAGAATGTAGTGTGGGAATTTTAGGGCTCGGGGGAACATTCGTGATTTCTTTAAAGCAATTGTTCTGAAAATATTCCAGAAAATGTATACTTGGGCATGTGCGTTTGGTTCTTCGCCATAGCATCGGTGTTAGGACAGAGCGGAACACACGCACTCCCACGTCTTCTGAACGAAACTCCCTGTACTCAGTCTGCATGGGTGCGACACCTACACAGATGGTAGGATGTGCACACGCACTGCGTTGTAGGGATGGTGCGGGATGCGTTTAGTGTCGTCGATGCAGCTCTTTGAATTAGCGAATTCAGTGAAGGGTGTTTCACAGTTATATAATGAAACGCGTATCGGGTGTCGACGCCATGGTGGTAAAAGGTGTGAGTAATTATTCAACTGTGCAAGGGGCGATGCCACACATTAATAAAGTCTATACCTAGCCGCCATTTGTACCACCCAGTCTCCATTGTATTCACTGTAGCTCATTATGCTTACTTTGTAAATCCCGACCCCGCGTAGATCCGGGTTAGAACTGGCCTTCAGCAACCCATGCTTGTCGAGAGAGGCGACTAACGGACACGCTGACTTTGTTGATGCATGTCATCGATCCCAATTGCGAAGATCGGTGCTCATGATGACAATCACAAAATTGTCCGGTTAAGACTTAACTATTCACAGACCACCGGCATATGGCTGGAATATTGGTGAGTGTGACGTTAAACAACAAACAAACAAACAAACAAACTTTAAATCCCGACCATAGTAATCGTAAGAATAAGTTATTCATTTGTAAACCGGAACAGGTGACATCCGTGATCATACATAAAACATTACTTCGACTGTCAAATTAACGTTATCCACACAGAAGCATCCAAATAGGTTCCTCAGAAAATAGTCCACACGCGCGGGACTAATTGATTATTATCACTATTAACCGACTCTCCCATTAACACCGTGCTTATATTTACCTTTGTATATTGACGCCTGAGAGTAAAGCGGGAATCATCAGAATACATTTGTGCTGCGCGTTTTGATATAATAGTACTTTATTTCAAAATGCTGTCACGCTTCTCAAGATTGGGGACATAAACTATACACTTCAATAGAAACCGGCAAAGCAGCAAAAATGAGGCGTGGGAAAAAATAAGAAAGCGGAGTGAGTGAGTGAATGTGTTTTTACGCCGCTTTGAGCAATTCCGGTCACCATACCGTGGTTAACACAAGAGAAGGCTTTACAATTTGATCCCTTGAGGGGAATCGAAACCTAGTCTTCTGCCTGACGAGCGAACGCTTTAACCACTAGGCTTCCACATCTCCCAAAAGTAAGAAGAGAAAAGACGAATAGTGAAAATAGTATGGCTATAAAATGCCCCTGTACACTTCGAATTGT